CCAATGGTATCCTGGGGTGCATTAAAAAAAGCATGATCAGGCAATCGCCCCCTTCTGCCCTGCCCTGCTGAGTCCTCATATGGAGTATTGTGTCCAGTTATGGGCTCTTCAGTTCAAGAAAGACAGGGAACTTCTAGAGAGCATCCAGCGGAGAGGAAACAAAAATTATTAGGAACCTGGAACATCTCCTTTATGAGGAAAAGCTGAGATATCTGAGACCATTCAGCTTAGACAAGAGAAGACTGAGGAAGGATCTTATCAGCGCTTATGAAATATGTAACAGGTAAGAGCCAAGTGGATGGAGCATGGCAGTGCCCAGTGACAGAGCAAGGGGCAGTGGGCACCGACAGGAACACAGGAAGTTCCATCTGAATATGAGGAAAAAATTGTTTACTTTGAGGGAGATGGAGCACTGTAACAGGCTGCCCAGAGAGGTTGCAGAATTTCCTTCTCTGGAGATACTCAGAACCTGCCTGGATGCTTTCCTATGCAACCTACTCTGCTTTAGCTGGGGAGTTAGACTAGATTCAGAGGTCCCTTCCAACCCCTATGATTCTATGATTCTGTGAAATGAATAATAGAGCAACTGGTTGTCAAGAGGAAAAAAGTCAGTATTACAAGTTTCGCTAGTGCAGTGAGACCTGGGAACAGGTGAAGTCATTCTGAAGACTCAGTGAAATAACAAAGACCAGTTAAGTTAATCCACAGGACTAGAAACTGCTTATAGCCCTACAGCCTGGGTTTAGTGCTATGAATCAAGCACAGATCTGTTGTGGGGAAAGGTTACTGACATGTTATAGCAGCTCTTCTTTCATCCCTAAGCTGCCTGTCTTAGTTTTGCTCGCATTTTACACCAGAAATGAGATTACAAAAAATTACAACTGCATTTTGTATGGATTCAGAAAACCAGTGACAGCTGGAGGGCTTCATGTATGAAGAACGAGATTGAGAAGTTGCCTTTGTAGCTCTCAAACCACAGTGTCTGGAAAAGCAGTACAGACAGATTCACCTGCTCACTGCAAACATTTTGTTTTTTTTCTTATGGCAGCACCTTAAAGATGTAATTTCTCCTTGACAGGTCATGCACTAAATAAAATGCAGCTTTCAGATTAGAAGAATCTGCCCTGCCCAACTGTTGTGGAATTTATGAGGGAAGATGAAAGCTATTAGGAACAAAAGAAATATTCAAAGAAGCAAAGATTGGACTTTGAAGAAACCTTCTGGAAGTTTCACACGTGACAAACCTACATTGTAAATGACATTTTTCTTTCACAGTGGAACACACAATTCAGTAATTCAGCCCCCTCCATCCTAGCGCATTAGAAGCTAGCACTGCTTGTTCCATTCATCCAAAAGTGCACACTCTCAGAAACTGGGAACAGTGAATTTCCTAGTGGGCCACATAGTAATCTGTTTCCTTCTGAGTCTACTTAAAAGACATTAATGCACCTTCAGAGATGGTGATATTCATAAATTTAGTGTTCTCTGATGGAAAAAGGAGTCTTTACCAGCACTTACCAGAAAGCAGTTGCTGGATTGCGCAGATCATCTGAGAAAAACTGTGCCTCTTGTGCAGACCCTGAGCAGGAAACGCTATTGAGTTTTGTAATGCCTAGGTAGCACTGAGCAAGTTGCACCTGATATAAGCTCTCATGACTTATCACTTACATTATGATTGTTCCTAGCTACAAAACCTCCACTCCCTCTGGGTAAATTGTTCTGTAGGAAGAAGAGTTAAAAGCAATTGCTTCTGGGTTTAGCCCGAGGCTAGCCAGCACTATGGAAGACAATTCTTACAGAGGGTCCTACCTGCTGCCAGAATAACAATACATCAAATCTAAATGTATGCAAATGGAGTCACCATCTTGGACTTTTCAAGACCCAGCCAGAAACAAAGCTGCAGCTGACCTGATGTAGTACTGGTGATAATCCTGCTTCAGGCAGTGGTTTTGACTACACACGACCTCCTGAGGTACATTCCAGCCAACAGTTCTGTGAAGCTATGAAACATTTTTAAAAGCTTTGAATATTTAGAATGTAAGTTGGCTTGCATTTTAGTAGAATTGAGCTTGTAACTGATCCAAGAATGCTGTATTTGATGCAGTTGGTGCTATTGCACCCTTGTGTGCAGGATTTGGACATTTGCACATTGTGCTTCTATAGCTCGCCTATCCATTCCATGGATTGCTGAGGGCTTTTGATTTCAAAATAGGAAAATGGAACATCAACAAGTCAATATGATCCCTCCCATGCAAAGAGCATGCAATTAGCTTTAGTTGCTCACATGACCTGAAAACAGAGGGCTATGGTATCACAGAAGCTGGTGACAGAGGTTAAATCCTGGAGGAGAAGCTTCCAGCATTCTGCAAACAGAACAAACCATTCAAAGGACAGCAAAATAATTACTTACTTCAGATTAAATAGCCTCCTTTGCTTCATTGGATGAAAAATATTTTAAAGTGGCAAAAAATTGTAAAAACTTCATGTTTTGATTATTTTCAGAAGCCATTTCCCCTTGTCCTATCTATCTCATAGTGTAAAAGAATATCCCCACTTGGGAGGGACATTCAAGAATCATAGTGCCCAACTCCTGGCTCTGCACAAGACCACCCCAAATTCAAATCATATTTCTGAGCTCACTGTTCAAATGTTTCTTGAGCTATGGTATCTTCAGGCTGTTCCCACTGCCCTGGACAGCCTGTTCTATGTCCACCACCCTCAGGTGAAGAACCTTTTCCTCACACTCAACCTGACCCTCCTCTAATACAGTTTCATGCCACTCCCTCAGATTCTTTCTCTGCCACAGAGAGCAGAGCTGTGTTGCCCCTCCACTCCCCTCATGAGGAGATGTAGACCACCATGAAACCTCCTCTCAGCCTCCTCTTCTCAGGGCTGAATAAACCCAGGGATCTCAGCCTACCTTCATACCTTCCTTCTAGATCCTTCACTTTCATGAACTGCTCATGGCAGTGTGCGCTTGAAGCCCAGAAGGCCAACTGTGTTCTGGGCTGCATTAAAAAAGGGGTGGCCAGCAGGGAGAGGGAGGTGATTGTCCCCTTCTACTCAGCTCTTGCGAGGCCCCATCTGCAGTACTGCATCCAGGCCTGGGGCCCCCAGTATAGGAAGGATGTGGAGCTCTTGGAGAGGGTCCAGAGGAGGGCCACTAAGATGATCAAAGGGCTGGAGCACCTCTCCTGTGAGGAAAGGTTGAGGGAACTGGGCTTGTTTAGCTTGGAGAAGAGAAGGCTCCAGGGAGACCTCATTGTGGACTTCCAGTACTTGAGTAGAGTGTATAGGCAGGAGGGGGAACAGCTCTTTGCAAGGGTGGATAGTGATAGGACAAGGGGAAATGATCTTAAACTAAGACAGGAGAGATTTAGGTTAGATATTAGCAGGAAGTTTTTCACACAGAGCATGTTGACACACTGGAACAAGTTGCCCAAGGAGGTTGTGGATGCCTCATCCCTGAAGGCATTCAAGGCCAGGCTGGATGTGGCTCTGGGCACCTGATCTGGTGGTTGGTGGCTGCACACAGCAGGGGGTTGGAACTGGATGATCATTGTGGTCATTTTCAACCCAGGCCATTCTATGATTCTATGATTCTATGATTCTGTGATTCTATGATTCTATCTTTGTAACCTTCCTTTGGATGCCCTTTCATAGTTTTATGCTGTTATATTATCGCACCCAGAACTGCAGACAGGGCTAGGCAGAGGCTAGACGACATAGAGTAGAGTGGGACAATCCCTTCCCTTGCCCAGCTAGCAGTGCTGGGCCTGATGCACCCCATGGTACATTTGGCCCTTTTGTCAGCTAGGGCACAGAGCTGATTCAAATTCAACTCACCATCAATCAGAACCTCCAGCTCTCTGTTCATAGAGCTGATCTTCAGCCATTCATCCCCAGTGTCTAAATATATTCAGAGTAGCCCTGTCCCAGGAGCAGAATTTGACACTTGCTCTTGTTAAACTTCACATGCTTGTTGATTGCCCAAACCTCTAATTTGTCAAGATCTCCCTGGAAGTTCTTTCTACCCCTGAGGGGATCAACATCTCCTCCCAGTTTAGTGTTCTCCACGAACTTACTTAGTAGTCCTTCAAGTCATTTATCTTAGTCATTGATGAAAACATTAAAGAGACCTAACTCTAAAATGGAGCGCTGCAGAACCCCACCTGGTCAGCAACTGGATGTAACTCCAGTTACTATAGTCCTTTAAGACCAATCCATCATCCTTTTTGTTCATCCCTCACATTATATTTTTGTCTAGCGGTATGCTGGGCATTTTGTCCAGAAGGAAGCTTTAAGAAATAGTATTAAAAACTTCATTGAAATCAAACAAGATTACATCGTCTGTCTTCCTAGTTGGATAACCTTGTTATAAAAGTAGATCAAGTTTGTTAAGCAAGACTTTCCCCTTGTGAACCCATTTTGTCTGTAACCAATAACTGCATTTTTTTTCAGGTGTTTTTCAATAACTCCTAGAATAATCATCTCTATAATTTTGCCAGGCACCAAAATGAGACTGATGGGCTTGTAATTACTGATATTTTCTTTCATATCCTTCTTAAAAATTGAGACAAGTGCTTGCCAGCCTCCAGTTAACTGGACTTCTTCAGATTCCCAAGACAACAGAAAAATAATTCAGAGGTCTTGTAATTATATCAGTCAGCTCTTCAAGTATACTGGGATGAATCCCATTGGGCCCTATATCCAGCTGGAGTAGCAAATCCCAGACAAGTTTAGGGTTGGCTGCGAGTTTATTGTTGCTGCAGCTATAGTCCTCAAACGCAAGGCTCCAAGGGACCCAGAACCCATCACTAGTGTTGAAGACAGAGGCAAGGAAGGCATTAAACAACCAGTAAAGCTGAAGGGAAAAGCTAAAAAGATGAAAACTCACTTGGTTTTTAGGATTTGGATCTCAGGGACAAACAAGCAGAGTATGTTCGTTACCGTTAAAGTTTTAGTAAGTTTACGGACAGTAAATGTCATTTAAGGCAGAATGAATGAAGAAGGTATGAGTTTATTTAATTTTAATCCAGATTAGTGGGAGGAAGAGATGAGCATAGTTTTTAAAACACATTCATGACTTTCTTCCCTTCTCACAGCCTCTTTCCTCCTCCTATGATCCCATCCATTCAGTATGTTAAGTATTCGAGTCATCACCTGTGAGGAAGAGAAATATTATCACGGCATCTTTCAGCTGACAAGGAAAAGCATCGAGTTTACAACCAAATGTTAAAAGACACATTAGCACATGGCTTTAAGGATCTATGCATAACTAAATGTATTTGCTCAAAGCAATACAGAACATTGATGCCTGTCTTGTCTTGCTCACTCTAATATCATTTTTCTCTATTATTTATTGCTCAGCAGATGGATGGAATTAAGTCTCACTCAGTAATTGAAAGCACTTGCTCATTTGTCTGTTAAGATATTAATAATAATAATTTAGCCCTGTCACAGCCATGTACTGTAGTCCTCTTTGATTTATTTGGAGATTAATATTGTAATGAATATAATATTATAGGAATACTTTCTTCATGAATGTTTCCCATATTTATAGACTAAACTTGTACCAAGTTTTATGAAAATATCATTTCAGTTTTCCATCAGTACAACCAAACATAAATCTATCTGAAATACAACTGACTTCTAAATGAAAGAGGGAGTAGAATGAACCTGAAGAATAAATATAGCATTATCATGTGTTGTTCATGTTGATTTTTTTTTTTTCTGTTATCCAGTAGAGAGAGAAAATGTGTTGAGAGAAATGTGTTGCTTAATAGGAAAGTAACTTCCTCTTTACAGTACTTAGTTGAAAACATAAGAATCACTGGCAGTGGAATGTAGAATTGTTATTGCACACTGGATTGTTCTATTTGAAGTCATTTTTTATTTTTGTGCAATTTATTTGCTATAGGAAATATGCTAGCAATGCGTGGAGAAATCTGTATCTGACGTTATATTGGCTCTTTTTCAGTGCATGCTTCTTCTCTAAAAGCAAATCAGAAACCTGTGCACAAACTTTACGCTGTATCATTCCCCAAAGCAAGAGGGTTCCGTCAAGAGCGTTCAAAACTGAAACTCCCTTCAGGGCACAGACTAAATATTTTTCTTCTTATTGCACAGAATTTCAGTGACTTATCAATTCAATTTTTTACATACCAGTATACATCACCTATTTACAACAGGCTCAAGGATTTGTCTATCTGACAGTACACTGACTGCCCTGGGCCCCTCACTACAAGAAAGACATTGAGGCCCTGGAGCGTGTCCAGAGAAGGGCAACGAAACTGGTGAGGGGTCTGGAGCACAAGTCTTATGAGGAGCGGCTGAGGGAGCTGGGATCGTTTAGTCTGGAGAAGAGGAGGCTCAGGGGAGACCTCATTGCACTCTACAACTTCCTGAAGGGAGGTTGTGGTGCAAAAGGGTCTGGCCTCTTCTCCCAGGCAAATAGTAGGACCCGAGGAAATGGCAAGAAGTTATACCAGAGGAGGTTTAGGTTGGATATTAGGAGAAACTTTTTCTCTCAGAGGGTGGTCAGGCACTGGAATGGCTGCCCAGGGAGGTGGTGGAGTCGCCATCCCTGGCAGTGTTCAAGAGGCGCCTGGATGAGGAGCTATGAGAGATGGTTTAGTAGCTTGTGGCACTAATAGGAATGGGAGGGTGGTTGGACTGGATGATCTTGCAGGTCGTTTCCAACCTTGTGATTCTGTGATTCTGTGATTCTGTGATTCTTTGTTACTCAAATCTCCTCTAGTTTTCTACTAAATCACAATTTGATTTTCATTCTACAAGATAGATATAGATTGACTTTTTTTCCCAAATCAAGTGCTTTCAAAGAAAAAAATAATCTCATTCAACAATTATCATAAGAGGAAGTGTGAAATTTTGAAGCTAAGAAAATCCACTCTGTCTTTTCAATCCTTCTATTTATCAGGCAGCCAATCTTTCTAAGCCTCCTTTACGTGTGTCTGCTTGTACTTTTCCACACCATCTTTTTTTCCGTGTTTCTTTCTTTTTTTCACTTTCACTCATTTTCTGAAGTGTATGTTACTTGTTATTTTTTTTTTTTAATTTACTATTACGTATTATTATTATTTTCAGGGCACCAGAGCAAAAGACACCTTGTGTGACAAGTTCTTAAAAAAGCAGACATGCCTCTGGAAAACTCTATTACTGGAGATGCCAGCTAAACCCAAATTTGACCCCTGATGCCTTATTAACATCTGGTGCCATCCTCAGTATCAAACCTTTTCTGGTTCCTGCAGTAATGTCTAGACCAACACTGCTTTCACTCAATGTTGTTAATGTGTGGCTATGACATAGAATAATAGAATCATAGGACATCCCATGTGTGATAGGCGTCCCACGTGTGTTATCTCAGCATGAAAAATAATATGAAATAACAGGTTATTTAGACCTGCAGAGACTTAGGGAAGCTGCAGCCCAACCCTGGACTCAAAGCAGAAGCAGGTCTCTGTTGAGAGCAGGCAGCTTAAAGATTCACCCAGCCAAGCCAACAATAATCTTGAGGTTTGGAGACCTCATGGTTCTCTGTGCAATCTCTTACATCTTGTGGCTATCCTCAGGGAAAATATTTTTCCAATAAGGCACCCTCTTGTTTCAGTTTATGACCACTGAGCCTCATCCCACTCTGCAGATCACTATGGCGTCTGGTTCCCTTTTTTCCAATAATCTCCTGTTGGGTATCATAAGGCTGCACCTGAAGCTTCCTTTCTCCCATTTGAACAGGGTTGAGTGTGTTGGGAAGTTGCACTAGGTGTTGGATTCAGCTCACTTAAATGTCCTCTTCGAAAACTTGAGTATCTCAGAAGCGTGTTGCCCAAGGCAACCTCATCAGTGGAGGTAAAGAGAGGCATGTTCTTAGCAAAATTTCTCTTATAAATTAGGTGCTCAAGGGAGATAGAATAAACCAGCCTGTGCAAATGTCAAAGATTTCCTACTAACAAAAGAAGGAACATATATACTCAGCTTAAAGAAGCCTAGATTTGAAATGGCAGACTTCAGGCAAAACGAACCTTGCTAGTAGAGACATAGACTGTCCCCTTTTGTCTTTGGCTGCTATGTTTGTGTTACACTGGCCAAGAAACAGCATCTCTTCATTCTACTTTTTCTATCTTTTAGAAGAGAGAGCAATGACTGATCAGAGCATTTTGCCAAGGGTTTTGATTTTCATGTGTGAAAAGTACCATATGAACAGAAAGGCATTGCTCATGCCATAGGAGAATGAATTGCTGGGCAGAAATCATAATCCTTTGAAGTGGCACACCCCAGTGGTAACAGAATGCAACATTCTTTTTTTCCTTTCTTGCCTGGGAAATGTCTGTTCTGTCTGTTCTGCACAGACGACTAGCCTACAAAAATCTTTCTGTGTTGCAAAGACACTCTGAAAACATATATAAAGGCAGAAGAAAGCTGGCACCTCCTTAATCTTATCTCTCTAATTGCATCTATTATGGTTTAGGACACACCTTCATCTAAATACAGGTGAAGTTTGAAACCTTTCTGAATCAATCTGATTTTTTATTTAAATGTTGTTGTTAGAAAATGATTCAATGCTGTAATTACCTCCAGCCATAATTGATTGTTTCTGTTTACACAGCAGGTTATTAAAAAAACATTATCTGAAATTGGACTCTACCTTTAAACGCAGTTTAGATTATTGCAACAATACACAAAATATAATGTCGTAAATGTGAAACAGGTGGCTACTTAATAACAGTTAGGAACATTCAGCATCCATTCTGAACAGTCCATTGGAAACCAAGTTATCAGTCTTACACGAATGATTAATTTGACTGGTGGTGCAGCGTGCAGTATGATTAATGAGCATTATGCTGTTTTACTAAGCAATAACTCACGGCTCGGTGGTGACGTCCATCTTTATCTTTGAAACACTGTTTTACAAAAGGAGTGAGTGGTCTTTATTTCCTCCAGCATTACGTACCCTGTGACGGGAGGGGAGGCCTGATGGCGGCTGCAGCTCCTCACAGGGAGCGGGAGGGGCAGCGCTGAGCTCTGCTCTGTGTGACAGCGACAGGGCCCGAGGGAAGACAAACCATGGTCGTTATTCAGCACAGCGTATTGCAGTGCAGCAAAAGAGCAGACAGTACATGTGTGTGTGGATGCACTCTGTGGTGGTGGAGTGCTGGGATGAATTTTTTCAGGAGGAAAGAACATTTAGAAGTGGAAAGGTGCACCTGGAATTAAAAAGAAAAAAAAAAAAAAAAAAAAAAAAAAAAGATTTCACAGAGTGAAGGACAAGAAAGCTAGCAAGCACATTTTGTAACATTTGAAAATGTGAAATTTAGTTTTCAAGAGAGGTCAGTGTCTCAGGCTCCCAGAGTCAGCCAGCCGTGTGTTCTGAGTCTCACTGGGAAGCTGATTACATCCTCTCAGCTGGCATAGAGCTCATACTGCTAGACAGGAATGACTGATTAGTTTATAGACAGACAGACGGGAATGAGGGTGCAGAAAAGAGGAAGATACGTCTCACCAGTGACACAGATCACTCCATTTGAGTTTGAAAATCATCTAAATTTAACCTGAGCACTGTTCTGTTCCTTAACCATAAGTTTTTCAGGGTGGAACTCCTTCTGTGTTCTACTTCTGCACATCCTGTTTCACCCACATACTTTCTGGTATTAGATGTACTTTGTTGATCCTTCATATCACATCCAATGTATTAGTTTTCAATTTTTAGCTGAATTAAGGCATTTCAGTGAGAGACATAATTTCCTTGTACACCAAAAGTTTCGACATGAAGCTCTATGGAGCTGTTCGAGAAGTATCAGCATGATACAGCCAATTATTTTATTATCTTCATTAGATCCAGGAGCACCCATGTTTACAGTAAGTCTGTGTCCCACTTCTTGCCCCTCTCCATAAGAATAAGGAAAATATCAAGATCTCCAGGATGATATTTGAGAGTATTTTACAGTTTAGATGTGAGTACTTGTGACACCTAGTGGTCCTGGAAAAAAATGCAAATATTTTAGAGGAAAAGGAAATGGTGGGTGGATAGGGCAGAGGAAGGAGGGATCCAGTATCACCTGCTGGAAGATAGTTAATATAATATCCAGGCAAAAGATGCTGGTGAGCAAATTTCTTCCCTGGGGATGTTGCACATTTGTCTGAGGCAGAAACTCTTTGTACCAAATAACATAAGCAATGGAAAAGTTCAGCTCTACGAAAACTTCTGAGGGGGGTAAGACTGGATGGTTGTGGGTGGTTGGGTAAGATGCTTAGGCCCAAATCCTGTTTGTGACAAAGGAGATGAGCACAGAAGCTGTGGTTGATGGCATCAACTTCACATTACAGGGACAACTTAAGGACACACCTGGTATAGATCAATTCCAATGATTCATGCAATCTCACATCATGGAAGGAGGATGTTGGGGGTGCTGGGAGGAATATAGTTTAATGTGGGCTCTATACAAGATCATCCATTAAATGAAACACTTCAGCAATGTACCACCACCCAAGACTTTCCTTATATTCAACCAAAAAATGTGGATGATTCCCAGGCTGTAGATTCAGACCTTAGGTGCTCTAAACCGCTGTGTGAAGAAGCCTGTTTTAACATCCTTAACAAGATCCCTTGCATTATGTGAACTTTGTAAGAAGAAGATCAAGACAAGACACCTGTCTGATGCACATCAAGTCATGGAAAGATGCCATAACTAGGCAGCATAAAATGCGCTAGCTGATTACTTGAGAGCCTGAACCTAGAAACCCACAGCCTGCTTACTTCTGCAAAGCGTGGCTTTTCACCATTCACTCAGACTAGTGACTCAAGCATGCAAAATGTCTTGTTCCTCCTGTGTTGAAGGTTCCTAGAAGAAAAGTGATTTTGATGATGGAGATAACCACGTGATATCTTTGGGCAATTTCTAGCAGAAATCAAAACAGTCGAATGCATAATTTGCAAAACTTTCTCAGAGACAAGTAAAATAATAATAGTAGCCTGATAATTCCTATGCAGTTGTCTCTTAACTCAAAATACCCATCTGAAGGTGCTTAAATAGGGATAACATAAAACAAAGCCAGTTTATTTCATAGCTAAGCAAGTTTGCACAGCTAGATAACAGAGCTATTAAAACACCGCTTGTACATATTCATTTATATATGCATGGCTTGTATACACTTAGTGTGATTCATGAGTTGGAGTACGTGGTGTGATTCACACAGCTTCTGTGAGATTTGTCAGGTAATGAGTATGTGTGCACCTCCTACTGTAGCATGGCTTCAAGCGTTGCACTGCATGAATGTATGTCTCTGGAAGACAACAAAATACATTTGCAGTAGGCTTTGCAGCTGACTGCTTACTGCACAAACTCTGCCATCTGGTATTTCCAGGTCATGTCTGCCCCTCGTCCCTGCCTCTGTAGGAGCAGAGCAACTCAGCTGAGTGCTTCAGGTTAGCTTAGGTGAGATGTATCTGACCCCAGTGTAACACAGATGTTGTAACTCCCATCAGATGCTATGGCTACATTTCCCAATTAAAGGATAAAGCTTAAATACAAGTAACTGCAAGATTTACGTCTCCAGAAGAAGTATTAGAGCAAGACATCCTATGCCACTCCCAAAGCTACTCTCAGACTTTGCAAACAGTAATTTTCCTTGGACTGCTTAGCTTCAGTTTCTTGTCTGAGGAAGCATTGTTAGGTGTTCTTTGTAGAAAGCTGTAAGAGAAATAATAGAGAGAAATGTATTTTGTGAGACTGCTGCTACAACAATGGCAGGAAGAAAACAAATCTCCCGTGGTAACCAAGGTGTAGGCTGTATGCCATCAGTTATAGAAGTAAATACTCGTCATATGGGAAAGTAATACATCTGGTGGTGGGAGTAAAACTATTCAGGATTCAGTTAAAAATGGGAAATGGATTGATTCTGTTCACTCAGTACCAAACTCTCATTTTCCCATGTGAATGAACCCTCAGGCTTGCAGGGAAGCCAAGAAATTATGACCTGTTGGCTCAGCAGAAAATCACAGACACTTTGCAGAGAGGGCACAGCACCAGCAGTGACAAGGGCAGCCTTATCATGTGCTGTTGTGATATAACTCAAGTCCAACTACACTCTGCCTTACGTAAGTGTAGACTAAACAGAACCTGCAGAAGTAATCAGTTCGATAGTAAGATCTTAACAGTCCATGATTCTTGTCTGCAATGCAGATAGCAGATGACCAGATGGAGTTGTCTTGTATGCAAAGGCAGAGCCTGTAGGGAAGGGGAAATATAAAATGTTGAATGAGAAACTCAAGAGGTGGATTTGCCACCAAATGTTCACTTGTTAACAACAGTAAGGAAACCTTAATGTGAATGTCAGCACCCATTTCAACTTATATGATGGAGAGCAGGGCTTGCTGAACATTTATCTCAATAAAGACCAAGCAGTGGATGTTAGCACAGTGAGGCAGTGGCTGGTGAGTTTCAGCAGTGGTAGCAGAGATGTGAAAGAAAAGCCACATTCCAGACAGCGATGCAGATTTTTATGGGTGCAGCATGGAGCTGAGAATTTGCTCTGTTAAACAGTGTTATTGTGCTCTTTGTATGTGTTGTAGTTTCTATGGAAATAAATAGGAGGTATTATTTTCAGACCAACCAATGTACTTGGTACAAATACATTGACTGCTTTCACTGTATATGGTAGTCAAACATTAATTACAGCTTTCTATTCATCAATATGAAGTAACTATATAGGCATGATCAATAATATTGCATAATGCTTTATTGGTGTTTTCTTCAGAAAATGCTCCAATAAACATTAAACTAAAAAAAAGAGAGGCATTAGATCTTAAATTATTTTTCTAAATTTATATGTAATCATAACATTACTCAGTGAAATGTTATTGTAAGATGCAACTGAATATCCTCCCCAGTAATGTCTGTTGACACTACTCAAGGCCAATAAACAAAGTAAGGGAAATATTTTCTCCATGATACTGTGATTGAATAACACTCAGACATTAACATATATTTTGGTCTCTAGTGCATTTCCACACATTAGTTATAGGTTTTATTTCAAGAATAATACAATGACAGTGTAATAAAACCATACTGGTAATGGTGATTCTCATTTTTGATGTAAATATTAGCCCAATTGACCTAACAGAATAAATGAGTAAATATACAAAACTAGCAACATTTTCTTTCTGATCAAATTGTATTCCCAGTGAGCTCTATTGTTAACGTAAGTATTACAAAAAGTCAAGAAGGATGTTATAAAGAGTCAATAACATGTCTTAAAATTAAGCATTTATTCTTGGTGTCTCATTTTAGCTTTCAGTTACTAAAGCCCAATCTAAACTTACTGAAGCAGTACAAAGACTTCTGTTGGTATATAAGGCTGTCACTTCATAAGATAGCATCAGTGCCTCATTGATAAACATTCTTAGCCCTTGATCTTAGCAGGAATCCAGCTCAGAAATCCATCTCAGTATGTGTCAGCCTGAAAGCAGCAATTTACTCCTTGGTAAAATCTGTAGAATACATTATGAGACAGTGCTAATGTTCTTTTGAAACGTAAAGCAAATTGGAACAGGAGCAGAGAAATCTCTCTGCAAAATCTTGGTTTATGAAGATCATGGAAGTGGAACAAAAACTCAAGTGACAAATAAAGTTATAAGCTAGGACAAAGGGAAATTCCAGTAGACTTCTAGACAACCTCTCATACAAAGTGTGCTTTTAATCACAACAGAGAATGTCCAGCTAATCCAAAGAAGTTAGTTATCTACAAGAATGGAAGCAAAGGCTGAGAGCTTTAGTATACAGAGCTTTATCTGAGACTTTTTTAAAACATTCCAAAGGGCTTTGTACACTTTCTTTTCCAAGGATAGGTTTATGGTTCAGATTTGTGTTTGAGAAACACAAACAAGAGAAAAACCTCCAGGGAAATCTTTCTTCCCAGACTTACTATTTTACACTTGATGTATCAAAACAT